GATCTTGAATCTAATAATAACAGTGTGAATGAAAGTAAAATGATTATATCACGAGATAACAGTATTATTGACAATGAATTTATTGCGCCACAAAGATACTCTTGGGATAAAAAAGAAAAATGGCGTGAATCAGATTCTAATATAAATAATAATGCAAATACAATTTAATTTTTCGATCATTTATTATTATAATAAAATATTTTATTAATTTATTTATTTATTGTTATATTTATTTTAATAGCATTCATTACATCGGTATGATTCTATAAATTTAGAAAATGAAAATTTTGATTATGATATATTATTAGATGAAACATTTCAAGAAAACTATAAATCATTTGAAAATTTATCTCAAGCGGATACAATTAGTGAAGATTTAACTCAAGGAAGTTCTAATATATTATTAGAAGAATCATCTCAAGTGAGCTGCTCTTATACATTAATTGAAGATTCAGACCAAGAAAGTCTTATATCAATTGATAGTCAGTCTCGTGCAAGCTTTGATAACCACAAGCAACTACATGATTCAGCAATACAGCAAGTTAAAAAAAACTGGCAATTTATTCGTAATATTATAGAAAAACGGCATAAAACCAAACGCATATTAACTTTAAATCTAGGTAATATTGTTAAATTAATTATAATAGTATTAAACAGTTTGTTTATTGGTAATTCTCATGCCTTTTTATTATACTATTTATCACATTATATATTAAAATGATATAATAAAAGGATGCAACAATTACTGATAAATAAATTGTTTAATATACCGAAATTCATAGTAATAATATTATAAAACATTAAAAACTAAAATATATAATTTTTGAATCCAGGCGATCTTGTAAAAATTCGGGTCCTGGATATTGACAAGCTAAAACTGGATAGACGTTCATTGCCTTGCAAAGTTATCCAAAAAAGACCTAATAGTGATTCCTATCAAGTTGGATGTGAGTTTGGGATCTTGGACACATGGTATTCAACAAATGAATTGGAACCGTTGGGTATAAATGAATATCCAGCACTTGACATTATTCCACTTGGTACTTTTATCTCTTTACGAAATGCCGCAGCTCAACAAAACTTAACACGTC